TTTGAACCAATTTTTGCTCAATGGGTATTATAAAACAAAAATATTCTGTGAACACTGTTAAATCCTTTATGCTGCTGTCTATGCGTTCACATTTGCATTTAATTCTGTGGTTATTTATAAAAACAAGGCTATTCATATTGGAAACTGCTTCCTGAAGGGACAGAGAGACTTTTTTGTGAAAGTGTTAGAAAGCAAAAACAGGCCCCTGGTATAAGGAGGAAGCACATTTCACGCATATTAGTCACAAACATGTTTAAAGCAAGGAAATGGTTCTTGCTTCAGTAGAAACAAGCAGACGAGCACTAAATCTGACTTTATGTAACGAAAGCTGACAGCAGGGATGGTGAGCTCTCTACAGACAGCCGCTCAAAGAAATGAATCAAGCATCAGGGTTAAAAAGTCACCAACGAGCTGTCAGAACAAGTTGTTCTGGCACCTTCCAGGTTTTTACTCTGGCAACGGGCCACCGAATTGTAACACACCTTCAGAAGGAGGGAACAGATTCAAAACCAGATCTGATTATCCAGCAATCAAGCTGAAAACTGACCCAGAACTGGATTAGACTGTAGCGTGCTGCAAATGAGATAACATCAAGAGGTGACGGATACACAGTGTAACAGACACCTGCATCACCCAGAGAGCGCCGACAGTTAAAAGGACGAGAGAAATCATAACGCAATCTCTGGGAAATCATTTGATCTTTTTAAGCTTTTGAACTCTCTCAGGCTTAAGTAACATCTGAGACTGAACAAGATCTTGTAAAACATGCGATAAACTTGTTCTTGGCAGGTCTCTTTATTACAGCGGAGCATCCGGAGACTCTCTCAGGGCTTCTTCCACCGGATTTAACCCTCAACGTTCTGCTGCATCTGGGAGGCAGCTGCAGCTTGGGATAAACACCGCCGCAGTGTTTGCGAGCCTGGCTGGGGTCATCAGGAGGTTTGTTGTTAAGTGTTATGTTCATCCATTGAGTTTAGGCATCTAATTATGCCTCAATGATTTACAGGTCAGGGCTTGAGGGGGGGTGTAAACAAAAAAGACTTCCCTCTAAAAAATGATGAGATACTTGACTGCAAATGGGTGGAAGGGAATCTGGGAAACTATTGATCAAGACCACATGTAGAGAAGGGAGTGGTTTCTTTCCACTGTTGCCATGCTAACTCAGACTGATGGATTGCTGCTTTTTAGAAGTCAACCTCGCTGCATTGTTTCTAACATGGAATGAACTGGAATCAAGGCACTTATGTTTATCTACGCCAGAGCTCTGCAAGTCGAGGGTTTTGGAGGCCTTCCTACTCTGACACACCTGAATCAAAAGGCTGGATTACATCCTCTACCTGTTCTGCTCTTTCGTTTGATTTAGAGGCGTTGGAGAAGGGATGCAATGGTGTAGCTTTTGGTCTACTATTAAAGGGACTAAGGTCTTTGCAAGCATTGTGTCATTCATGAACAACACAACGGTGCCATGTTTAGCAATTATTTTTGTTTGTTTGTTTGTTTTTTCCTTTGGACTCATAGTTAGGGTTAGTGGCAGGTTAGGTAAAGCAGACAATGATCATTTCAGAAAATCTAAAGTTATTTTTGGGCTTAATGCGTCTTTTTAACAGACATGTACTACTTAATGATTTCTTTCACAATATTTTGGGCTATTTAGAATATAACCAAAAATAAAAAAAAATAAAATATGTCTTCTTATTAAGCCTCTTTTAATGGTTTCAAAGCACAACCACTGGCACCAGTAGAGACTGTAAAAAGTACAGGAAACAGTGAATGCTTAGTAAATGGGTAGGATTGTACCAAGTTATTGGCAGTATGGGGGTTGGATTACTTTTACCAAATGGCTATTTTGCTGGTGATCAAAATTCAGTTCAATTCAGTTTATTTCTTTAGTGATTTACAGAGACAATTCAACCAGATCGTACAGTCAGATTGATTCGAAGTTTTCTATCAAAGGAAATCAGTTGATTGCATCGACTCATTGATTCTTCAGCAATCCCTCACACTAAGCATGGTTGTAGCGACAGTGGAGAGGAAAAACTTCCTTTTAACAGGAAGAAACCTCCAGGGGTTCAAGGAGACAGAAGCAGATATACAAAAAGCAACTGTAAAAGGCGGCCCCGTCCAGGAAACACACAGCAAGGCAGACGAGCTCCGGGCCAACTCCCATGCCAGAGGATGAAGAGAGCACATCCAGCCAGTCATAGTCAGAGAAACAGGACTACACTGAAAAACAGGCCGATCTCCAGCATCTATAAACAAAGGTGTTGATGGCAGCAGCACAGCTGATATTTCTCTCCAGGATGGTGTAACAGGCAAACAGGAACAGAACTGTTGAAGCTGAAGTTGAGCTGCCAGTGTGAGTCCTTAGGAAAGACCCTTCACGCTAATGCCTGCTTTGGGGATGGCGGCCTAGTGGTTAGGGCATTGCGCTTGGAATCCTGAGGTTCTGCGTTCAAGCCCCACCACTACACACTCCCACTCCGGGTCCCTGAGAAAGAACCTTAACCCCCACACTGCTCCCTAAGTGCCGCACAATGGCAACACACTGCTCCCCAAGGGGATGAGCAAAATGCAGAGAGTTAATTTCATTGCTCTGTACTTTTGAAAGCGTAATGACAATAAAATGCTGGGGGGAGCTACTATGAGAAAAAGCGGAGAAAGCATAACGTTGAAGATTAAACTAACAAATTCTGCAGAAATGGCAAATAGGGATAGAATGTAGCAGAATGATGAAAAAGTGTCCCTATGTCCTCTAGCAGTCTAAGCCTATAGCAGCAAATGTGTGTTTTGACTGGATCAAAGTTTTGGACGGGTCAGAACCCTCTTAACACCCCTGCAAATTACAGCCTTGCAGGGCTGCAGCCAGAATCTGGCAGACAGGGGAACTCAAGTACTGAAGTTTCAGACCCCTGGTCTATGAGAATGCACTGATCAGTTTATTTTTCTGTCGAGAATATTCTTTGCTTTCAAAAATGCTACTTGATGCAACTAAATAGTAACTTAGTTACTCTACTTAAGTAGGTTTTATCACAGTATGTTCTTTAAGTATTTTGTTTTTGAGGAGTATTAATCACTACATTTGAACACACATATCTTAACTTTCTATTTTCTACTTTCTCCAACTACTTCCTTTTTCTTTACATATTGATAACGGCATGATGAAACAGCCGCAGCAAAAAGAGAAGAAAAATCAACAGTATAAAGAGAAGCTGTCCAATTTCAGCCACTTTAATTCATAAAAAAAAAATTGATAACATTGATGATGATCAGATTCTGAGACTAAAATTATTTCTTCTTCATTAGATTTTAAATGTAGGCCGTGTTTCAAGTTCGGTTTAGACTTTAATGCCATGAATATCAGCGCTCGAAAACTATTCAACTTCAGTTCAATTAATATCCTAAAATTTAACCAGGGACAAAACTAAAACATTTCAAGACATTTTATGTTCTCTTTATGAACACAGTGAGCAAAGAAGAGATTTTAATCTACTTTATGTGTATTAAACTGTTTTTAAGTTTCAAAAGTATTTTCTGACATTTAAAGAAAACAAATAAAATTTTACTTTTGTTCTTTAAAGCAATGTAAAACCTGTACTTTATTTAAGTTCAATCAGAACTTTTTCCTTCTCCTTTTTATTCTCCCAGGCATCTTTACTTTTACGCAGGTAAAAAAAGGCAAGTACTTTTGACATCATTGGGTTCAACCTGCTGAATCTAAACAAAATTAAAATGAATGCAGGAAAAAGGCTCCTGCTTGAATGCAAGAAATGCAGAGTTAATAAATTAATCCAGACTTTTGCTCTTTACTTGCAAAATGTTTAAGATCTGCATAATTTGAAAAAGGTTGAAAAAGGCTGGTTAAGTGAAGCACAAGTAAATCTTATTGATCTGGCGAAAATAAAGGTGTGCTAGCAGCTTGCAAATCCCCTAAAATTGGATTTACTCTTAAAGATCTTATTTTTCTACTGTTGGTTAATCAGAGCATAATTAAACAAGCATTACAACAATTGTAATGTAACAAGCTAATTAACCCTTTAAAGGGCAAATTAGCACTTTTGATCACTTGCATCCCCTTACAAAGTGGAGAATCACTCCACTTATTCTGATGGGAATTGCGCCCTCTGGTGTTTAAGATGGTATTGAAATATTCCTTAGCTTGGCGTTCAGACTGTATTTTTATGGAGTCAATTTAGTCCCATTATTTTTGAAAGTAGAGAATGTTTGTAAATGGAAACTGACAATAATGCAACCCAGAAATAATACTTGTTAAAAAATGTTTTCATAAAAAAGGTTTTGAGAGTCACTTTTTTTTAACTTTTTTTCTTTTACAGATTTTATATTTTCAATTTTTTCCCCAGATGTCTTTTATAAATTGAGTTTTACATATTGCATTCTTTTTAAAGATCAGGCGGCCGTTAATGAGAATTATCTGTAGAACACAATTTGAAAAAGAGAAATCCAAAAAAAACCCATTTCATTTTAAATCTGTGCAATTTTGAAAAAAAAAAGAAAATTAAAGCAAAGCTTAACAAAATGAAATATGCATTTTCTTTTTTTAGGAAAAAATATAATGAAGGAAATCAGTAAAGTTACCCTTAAAACTGTTTTAAAATTAGAAACTTTTACTTCTGGAAACTTCACATTAGCATTACAAAAAAGTAAATAAAAAAAAAAATAAAAAAAGCAATCCACTGGAGTTTGTTTCCAGGTTTGAAGACGTTCCGCTTCCCAACCAGGAAGCTTTTTTTAATTCTAAATGTCAGGAATAGCGCTGAGTTTGAGCTTTTATACAGTAGCCCGTCATGATGGATTGTTTTTTTTCTTTTTTTGAAACGACTATGACCTGGATGGCTGAGAATCTTCACCATTAACGTTTACAAAACGTGCCATTTGCTTGTAACAGTAATGGAAGAGAATTTGCTTCATATTCATTGTTGTTGGGAACAGAAAACTCAAGAATAGCAACAAGAAAACATGATCATTTTTTTTTTTGTCTAAAAAGTGGTTTATTGGACAGTGAAGAGAAATCTGATCTAACCATGTAATGCAACAGTGAATTTGTTTAAAAATAGTCATTTACCACAAGGAAAATGTTATCAACAGGAGGTAGGAAAGAAACAGCATTAAAAAAAAAGTTAAAAGGAGACATGTTAGCAGAATAAATACATCTAAAAGAAAATACTGAGTGGCTCTAAAAGCTTAAAACAGGAAGGTTTACATTTATCCGCTTTCTTTTTTTAATTCCATGATTCATTTCAGTGTTACAACACAACCGTTTAGTCAAAAAGCATGTGAGTAGACCAAGGCACTCGACTTTTACTTGTAACAACCGTGCATAACAGTGTAACCGCTGCAGCCTCCTGCAAGCATGCAGTAGGAAAAAAGAAATTATTCCAGTGAGCAAAATGTGAGGCGCAGCCGGTTCATCTGCTTTTTTCTCTTCAGACTTTACTAAATGCACAAACATATCGAGGTACTGATCAACAGTACGCACAGAGCAGAACATTTTAGGCTGTTGTGATTGGTGGATTTACAGAGAATCTGCTTTAGTATGTGTTTATCAGAACATACAAGTGGAAAAGAAGTGAGAAAGACTCAAATATACTTATAAAAAGTTCCTCTGGAAAGACGTCTGCGACAGTAACAGGGTGAGTACAGTTAAATTCACTTCACACAGCTAAAAACAAATGTAACAGCACTAAGAGCGACTTTCATGATTAGAAGTGAGACGAATAAAAGATGGCGTGAGGTTTATCATAAAACTGAGTGGTCCCCACGTTCCTCATTTTAGACAGCACAGAACTGTTTTCTCGGGTCAAAGCCCCCCCTTCCCCAGTTAGGCCTTCTCCAGGGACTGGTAGTACTCCTTCAGAACATCCCAAGCCTTCTGGGCCATGAAGCCGTCGGGGGGGTTCTCTCCCTCTCGAGCCATCCTCCGCATGCGGGTGCCAGAGATGAAATCGTAGTCCTGATGACTGCAACAAACAGAGAAATACCGAGCAGGAGGTGAGTTTGGAAGCTGGAGCCAATTAAGAGATTTTCTTGGTTAAAAAAATAGAACCTTTTTACATTAAGAACAACATTCTTTCAGTTTGGTATATGGACAATTTCCTGATTCACATATTTTATAAAACACCTGAACTGACCTTTTATTATTTTCCTTTCTTTTCTCTAAGGCTTAATGAGAGCAGTGGGCTTTAGGCTGCCCTGCAAGGCTTTAAATCTGGGTTTGAATGGAGACAAAGCCATTCTAAAGCACATATCAAGGTGCTCATTCTGAGCCTGGATCCATATTTATTTTTGATTCTGTTCATGGTGGAGAATCCTGCTTCACAGCAGCAGGTTGAGCCAAACATCCTCTAAATGTGCAGGGTCATCTTCGATCATACCATTTCACTTTTCTTTCACCAGTTCACCGCAGTTCTTCCAGCAATCTACACTTTCTCTGCTCTCTGTTTCTCATCATCTTCTTCTTTCCCATCGCCCTGCTTGCCACAGGTTTGCTGCTGTGTCTAAGAGTAGCAGCAGCAGCAACCCAGAGTGACAGCAGCCTTTTGGCTTAAGTCAGGCATACACTGCGATTTTTTTCACGCAGCTACAGCTCACACTGTACGATAAAACCTCAGGGTTTCGTCGTACGGTGTGAGTTCATAGATCAAAATGCATGTTCAGCCTGACGCACTAACACGTCTATCAGGAAGCCAAACGAGTAGAAGAGGAATATGAAACTTACTAGAGTGAAACGTGCTGCCTTGGCAATTTGTGTAATTTTGTGCTGAAAGCCCTAAAAAAGAAAAGGCGACGACATATTTGGACAAAGACATGGCTGAGCAAATGTGGCTACTACGGTCTGTCAATTTTACAGAAAGAACTCCATTTCAGTCGCACCCCTGCCATGCTTCTGGGTTTACATCTGAGAGGAGGAAGAAAAAGAAGAATCCTTGTTTGCGCACTGAGCGATTTGCCCACAACGGTGACCTCACGTCTCCTGATTGGGAGGTGGTTGTGAGAGGCTGATCGCCCCTTGTTACCCGCCTATACACTACATGACGCACAATCAGGCTGAAAATAAGCCAGATCGAAAAAAATGCGTGCACGACTGGAAACCCGCCACAAAAAAGGGCAAAAAAAATCGCACAGTGTAAGCCCGGCTTAATTTGTATCACGTGCAGCCTGGTCCCGGATGCGCTGGAGGGTTTTACCGTATTAACAGGAGAAGCGGTGCAAGTGAATTTAGACACTGCCGTCGGACAATATGCGGTAATTTATAAATGTTTTAAATCTGGTTGGGTTCAGATTAGCCAGGAGGTGGGTCTGGATCCGAACCCTGTTCCGCTAATCTTTGACCTCTGGATTATCAGATAAAAAATTGTTTCATCCAATTACTTGCTCAGCTCTCTTAAAAGGGTAATGTCACTGCTGTAAACTAGATGCTACTGTGGGTCATAGTTAAGAAAATAATTACTAATATTTGCAAGAGAAATAAAGTCAGAGCAGAGGCCTGCTAGAGCAGAAACATAAATAAGTCTGGTCCAGATTATTCAGTTTAATGGTGACAAGGATGTAGAATGAAATTTATGTGGTTCTGTTTGTAAATGTAAACAATCAATAAGCTGATGAAGTTATTACCATAATAATTCCTATCTAACCAGCTGTTTAAAGGGACTGCTAGCAGCACAAAGTAACCCAGCACTAAATGCTGGCTTATGCTAAAAACAGAAAGCTATATCTAAGTTAGCATCCGCTTTACTGAAACAAAGCACACAGCTGAAGCAATACCCCATGTGTTAAAGGGGATGTTATGCCTCTGTTCATTGGAAATAACACGTTTAACATTTTAATCTTGTTTTTTTATTCAGTATTCATAATAGGATGAGCATGATAACCTTTTTTTGTTGCTAATTTAAGGGAGTTTATTTGAATGTTGCCATTTAGAACAAGGTTTTCTAATGCGATACTTCACAATGTGCATTAAAAAATATAAAAATATGGAAATACCATACTTGATTTGACAACAACAACATTAAATCATCATTAAATAAAGTGGAAAATTCCCCAAGGACATTTTGGCGGTGCCTTTCACTTGGTATGTACTTGTTGTACTGGCTCTAATGGCTTTATGGGGTTAACTGGGCTCTGCTCGCATCAGCTTTTGGTGTCAAACCCCTGCTTTTATAAAATAAATATTATAAAACCAGAAACAGCAGCTCTATACTGCAAAAATGATCTAGAAATAAGTAAAACATTTTTAAATTAAGTTTATTTAGCCTTAATTTGAGCAGGTAAATAAGATGATTTGAAATAAAAAAAAAAATCAAGCATTCTTTTTCTTATTTTAAATTTAAATCGTCTTTTTCCCATCAGCAGTGTCTTACTTACATCCTCAATTAAAGGAAAAATGCAATCATTTTAAGAAAAAATGACTTATTTAGATCAGACATTTTTTTCCAGTCTACGCTTTCTAAAATAAGTGCATCTGATCATTCTTCTTTTACCTAATATATGTACACATTGAACACCATGCAGCCAAAACTTGAGACTCAATGAAAATAAGAAAAAAAAAAAATCCAGACTCCAATAAAGAACTTTGAAAAGTATCACAGAACAGCCTCCTGCCTTAAAAAAACATGATTTAAATGTTAACAGACAGACGTGCATAAAGAATCCAGATTAAAATATGCAGAGTGAGCAGAATTATTCTCATTTTGATCAAAAGTTGGATTTGGATGAAAGTCCTAACATTGCATGATGGGAAACCTGACCAATCTGAATCTGAATCTGAATCTGAATCGTTGTCTCTAAATGCAGCTGGTTATCCATCAGATAGAGAAAAAGAAAATAAACAGCGTGACTTCATGTTGCTGTCATCCTGAGAAACATCAAAGCTTAAACCTAAAACATATTTTATCTCAGGATGAAATAAAACAACTAGTGTTATTCTTGGCTCAGCGTTTCACTGCAGGGACAAAAAGAAGAAGGAAGTCGGAAAACGGGAGCCTTTTTATAAACACCTCCACCTTAATGAGAAATGAATTTACAGAATATCATTTCTGTTTAGACTGCTTGGTCTGGTTGGCCTAGATGTGACATTTTACTGCAGATTAAATGTACAAATAAACACTTCATTTGACCTGGAGTGAGTGGTTCCTGTAGGCCATTACCATAACAAACAGACTAGATGGTCTCTGCTTTGAAGGTTAGTCGGGACCAGAGTGCTTACTTCTTTGGCTCGTAAAAGTCCATGGCTCCTTTGGCTTTGTTGTAGGCAGCAACCTTGAAGGGAACGATCTCCAGGGAGACCAGGCCTGGAGCCATAGTCAGGACCTTGGCTCCATGAGTCGGCTCGTACAGGTCCTTCCCTGTGGCAGGGTGGGGCATGCCTGCAGGATCTCGACCCACGATGTAGAAATTGGCCCCGGCCACCATGCGTGCTCGACAATGCCACTGCACCTGAGGAAACGGAAGACGGTCATTACAAAATGCTCTAATATGAGGGCAGATTTTCAGCAGGTGGGATTATTTAAGTTTTTTATTTCTGCTGGAGATTTAAACTACTCTGTAAGCCTTTTATTTGCGGCTCCAACTGAGATAATTTAGAGTATTGCGCTGCTGCCTGATAAAGCTCACATGCTCTTAAATCTACATGAGGATTTTAATAAAACGAATGGAACCTCATAGTGCTTAAAGTCTGACCACATATGAAAACAAAGTCTTAATCTAAATTACAATCTAGAATCATTTAGCTCTCTAACAACTAGAGGAGGAAAATAAGTGGTTGAGAGCAGCTTTATGGGAAATTCTTCCAAGTTAAAGCGCTTCAGGTGAGGAAAATCAATGCAAAAACTGCTGAAGAGAGGATGGCAAGGCTACATTGATGACAACAGAAATACTAATTTGCTCAGAAAGTTCTAACCCAACCAGTTGAATGAGATTATTTGATGAAAAAAATGCTGATAAAAACTTATTTTCCATGACCTTCCTGTGTTTTTGAGGGCAAAACGAGGAATTCGTGCAAAGCTGATTGACATTTCATACCTTTGGTATTAATGTGTGTCTCTCATTTATTAACTGGCAAAGGAGACAAAAACTGTGGGAACTTCAACTTCAAAACTAAGAAGCTTTCAGGTTAATCACATTATTAGGTTTCTGGTTGGTGCAAATAAGACGAACGCCAGACAGAGAGCACGACATATGGATCACCAAAACTACACAATATTCCTGTCCCTTTGACTTTCTCATAACTAGAGTTCTGACTTCTCGATTACCCTGAACTTATTCCCAGTTTTTGAATTCGATTCCGAATGTAGATGCCTAGTGTTCCAACAGGAAGAAAAAGCAGCTCAATAGCGGCAAAGAAGAATACATGACAACCATCTGTTTATGCGGCTGCTTTCAACAGTTTTGCTTAACATCAATGATTTGATCATGATTTGATCATCTCTGCTACGATAACGACTGGATTATATTATTTAAAAGGCAGCGCACAGCCGGCAAGATTTAACACGGTCGAACTCTGGAGGAGCCGCGTCTTTGGCCATCTGTACTGGTGTTGTGCTAAGATATGTTCTCTGAGGAAATCTGTTCCCCTTCTAATCAGAGTTTAGCTTCAGCAGCGAGAACGGAGCATTTTTCCCCCATTTCGTCTTTCTACATTAGGTTTTAGCAGACACATCTATTGTTTTTTACGTGATCTGGATAAAATATAAATCCCTTCAATCTAAATCTGCCAGGCATGAATCATTTTAAGCAGAACTTTAGTCATTGTTTTTCAGAGTGAGTAGTGTAACTAATCTGATCTGAAACTAAACAAAAAACTAAACTAAACTAAACAAAATTCCCTCATTAACTTAAGGGAGTAGTTAAAAGATTTCCAGCTACTGGGGCAAGAAGACTGATCAGATCACTTTCCTGATATTACTGATTAACTAGCAGCCTGAACGTGACGAACTTCCACCCTGATTCCAGCGTCATCATTTAGAGAGGTGGAAAGACCACACCAACACCATAGAGTTTAAGGCAAGACCTAATCTGAAGAATAAAGAACGTGTCTTTGGGAGAAACCTCGGCAGCAGCCCCCATCATTACCTCAGTTGGTCCTGCATACATCATGGGAGATGGAAAAATGGCAACGATGGTGGAGTCTGGATCCAGCACGCGTTCTTCTAGCACGGCGGCGTGCTGCTTCATCCTCCACGGCAGCGGGACGTCGTCGTCTTTGGTCCAGCCGCCCAGCGGATGGAGCAGCAGGACGGGCCGGCGGTAGCCTCTCTCGATGAGTCGCTTGTGGGTGTCCTGCATCAGGAGGGCGTGGCCGTTATGGACCGGGTTACGGAGCTGAAAGGCGAACACCGCGTCTGACGGTAGAGAAAGAGGAGAGCGGTTGTTAGGTTGAGACCAAAACCAGCAAGTGGATCCAGTGGAGTAAAGAAGCCTTCTATCAATGCGCTGCCCTGCGTCAGATACCTAAAATGTGGCTCAGTACCTGCGTTCATTTCTTTAAACTTCTGTTTCAGCTCATTGGGCGTCAGTCGGTACTGGTCCAGACCGTCATTCCAGTAGATCCTGTCCAGGACCTGCAGGTCTCCACCAACCAGCCAGTCACCACTTTCCATCACCATCTGAAATCAGGATTGTCATCCAGTCATGCATTAGACACAGACTAAATGGAACCAAAAGCCTTCTGTCTGGTTTAAAACAATGTTTTGGTTCTTCTCTTAAACCAAGTAGAACAAACTTAAACACTCCGGCTGGTTCTCAATATGTGTACTTGTGCGTTCTCGTGTACTCGTGAAACGCCATCAGCATCAGCCCTAGTACTGTTCCAATTCAAAAGAACAGAATACCGAGAACAGACAAAGTCCCTGGATGTTTGTCTTGCCTCTCCCTCTTTACCCAGCATGCATCAGAGCAGACATGTCTGTTCTCCAGATTGACAGCTGTCCCAGCATGCACTGCGGTAGCAGCAACAGCTTTCAATGGAGCGCTCACAGAGCTCAGAGGATTAAGTTAAAAGTTCTTTTTTTTCTGTTCTATTATACCTTTGAGCGTCACTATATGGTCCATTTTGTCATTTAATGCGCAATTAAAAAAAAAATCTGAAGTTGAGAGGACCGTGGCAACCAGTGGGCAGCCAGGGCTAATTTTAGCCCATCTTTAGCAGCCTTCTCTCGGCATAGCCGTGTGTGAAGGAGCACTGGCTCTGACAGCGATTATTTGTTTTATTTGGTAAAATGTTCGCTTGATTTATGTTTATTTGGCTGTGCTTAATATTACTCCCCCACTCAACGAAAAAAGTAATAAATAATAATTATCTAGAGACTAATAATAACAGGAGGTGAAATGCAGCTCCAGACTAGCCAAGTGTGTGGCGATGTCATCAGTGTGCTTCTGTTCCAGTGGACCCATATTTATGCTGCGTGCTCCTGTTCTCACCAAGTCCACACTTTACTGTATTCCTCTCAAGATTTACTTGGCGAGGTCCGTACTCGCGTTGTAGTGAATTGAGAAACGGCCTCTGGGTTCCTCAAGCAAGACCCATAACCCCACACTGCTCCCCGGGCGCCGCACAATGGCAGCCCACTCCTCTCCAAGGAGATGGGATAAATGCAAAGGTAAATTTCTCCAAAGTGAGATAAATAAAGTTCAATTAAAAAACACTGAATAAAAATCACTTCTTAATTATCGTCAGTGTTTTTTGTTGTCTTGCCATTTTAAGTGTGAACCTTCTGCATTAGTCAGCAGTACTCCATGAGATCTGCTCGTTTAAAAGGAACACTCACTGGTCCAGACCTGGAGAACTGTTATGACTTTACAGAAAATCAAACCAGGATCTAAGCTTAAATACAGAATTCAGACCAAAAACAGGACCAATGCAGTCAAATGATCAATGCTGCACATTATCAATCTAATTGAGCAGATTAGACCAATACATCAGCTGGCTTATGCTTCTAACAGATATGTGGATACATTCATTGAATGATTGGTGCTTTTGGCAGCCATGTGTAGAGATCACATGGAGTGCATGTATTGCAGCTCCTCCATTATTGATGTTTTATGTGATTTGGTAATTCATTTTTGCTTTTTATTAAAGCTTATGTCATTCTTATTTTGTCATGTTGTCATTTTAATCCTGGATCCTTGCTTCCCCGAGCAAAGCGGTCCTCTGCTGTTCAGCCTGGGCCCACAGAGAAGGGTTTTATCGAATATGGACCAGAAACCCCTTTACCACAGCTGCACAAAAGCAATAAACCAAAGTCACCTTCAGAACTGGCCGGTCTGCATCTGGACAGAAAAACTTCAGGGAAAAGCACCCAAGTGGAGGACTGTATACAAGACTCCAATAAAAGGGGATTTTACATGGTGCCATCGCCACAAACTTGTTTGTATCTTTTATTAATCGAGGTGTTTTAAATTAGTGTCCTTTCTGCTGTCTGTCTGTAAACGCGTTCCACGTTTTTATGGAATGCAAAAGACTAAAGACAATTTTATAGCCTTTTAATGAGTGTTTTTAGTCTTTTTGGGACAAAAGCTCTTTTTAATAGGAGGAGTTTGCCAAAATAGAAGAAAGAGCCAAAGGGTCAACTTTTAAATGTTTTAATCAGTGAAGCAAAGATGGCCGTTTACCTGTCCCCCAGAGACAGACTGCAGGAAGGAGCTCACCTTGATGCCATGGCTCTGTAGAAGTGAGACGTTAAAGCCAGAACAAGGCTGGAGTTTCACTTCCACAAAGCCACGCAGAACATGGAGGACTTTATTCAGCTGTGGGATTTTAACATGTTATGTGCAGCGTCTTTAGATGAAGGACAACTTCAGTTTAACAAGCCCTTCATTTTTAGCTGACAATTGTTTTCACCTTAATAGTAATTTTTTAATTGACAATTTACATCAGTCGTCGTTTATATTCTTTGAATTGTGCAAATAAAGTGTTGGTTAAAGTCAAAAAAGTCATCTGGTTATTTTTTTTTTTCATGTAAATGGGGAATGAAAATAAACGAGCATCGACTTTAAGAATTGCAAAACATTGCTGTCAGTTTCATTAGACAAACTCCAAACTCCAAAACAAAACAAACAAAAAACCAGTCCTTTTCTGTTTTTCTGGTTCTGGTCTAAAATACAATCAAAGGCAGCTTTATCCCACAATAGAGGAAACTTTCTCCCCTTGAGAATAATCGAACAATGGCGTTGAGGCGATGCGGCTGCAGGCACAGAGTGATTCTGTTTCAGGCGTTATCTTTACAATGGCAGATCTGAAAAAAATCCATCTGTGTCACTTCATTAACATCTAATCCATCATGTAAACAGCCTTTGATATTCATATGTTAAGGAACACAGCCTGGCTGCAGTTTGGGATTTTAACTGCGCTTAAATCAGCTTTGCTGTCTGCAGCAGAGGCGTCTCCATGATTTGATCTAAGAGCAGGCTGTGTGAAAAAAAAAAAAAAAAGACAAAAATTCACGTTTAAATTTTCTTGTCCTTTGGTGGCTTTAAAGACTTGATCCATCTGTGGTAAACTGGGGAGAAGTGGCTGACATGTAACCATGAAAGAATGTCCAACAACTTCACATGAGAAAAGGGGCCCGACCGACCAAACAAACAGACGCGGCACCGCGGCTTCCAGCGAGGGGGGCCTCTAGCCGACAGACAGGTAAACAGGAAAAAGTGGATTAAGTACATCTCAAGTGGAGCGGTTCATTGGTGGCTGACAGCAGACAGAAACAACGTGGTACGGCTGTCGCTGTAAAGGCCCGCTGACAGATTGGCTCCGGTGCAGCCAGTCAAACGTATATTCATGTAAACACACACACACTTTTAACGAGGGAGGTCTTAATCAGAGCAGGCTGAACACACATCAGATTAGACGCACCGCTGAGTAGCGTGTGTGTGGTGGCGGCGCTGAGGCGTCAGGTGTCGAAAGTGAAGAGTCATGGTCCCAATTTAGGACACGTGTGGCCCCGCTATCCATCATTTAACACATGAGCCACATTACAGCAGGGATATGGTAGGGGAAAAAAAAGATAAGGTGCTGAAATATCAGCGCGGTTTTTAGGGGCTCTGACTGCAGGCTGGTTTTTAACACCAAGAAGATGGAAAATTATCTAATCATTAGTAAATTAATGTCAGTACAAGCCAGGTCAGAGTTTGACCTACTAAGTTAATCCCTACAATAAAAAAACAAACAAAAAACAAATAAGTCCAAGGTTTCCAAGTCAAACTTTCTACGTATCGCTCATATAAACATCCAAACCTTACAGACCTAAAAAACTAATTTAATTCGAACTAACTATACTATTGGCTGACAAAATAATGCTTCTCTTTCTTTCTTTTTTTTATGTTTCAGATCAAATCAATTTGAATATCGCACCAAATAAACCTCTTACGATTTAGTGTAAAGCCCCTTTTATAGGAAAATATGCAGAGAAAAAGTAAAAAAAAAAAGTAAAAAAAGAAAAAAACACAAACAAAGGAAAAGATAAATTACAAAGATGCAAATATAATGCAGTGGGGGTTAAGCTCAGTGCGCAAACGAGGATTCTTCTTCTTCCTCTGAGATGAAAAAACAAAAGCTTGGTGGGGGTGCAGGGGAAATGGAGTTCTTTCTGTAAAATAAGTAGTAGCCATGTTTGCTCAGCCATGTCTTTGTCCAAACACGTCGTTGCCTTTTCTTTTTAGGGCTTTCACCACACAAAATTGCACAAATTGCCAAGGCAACGCATTTCCCTCTAGTGAGCTTCATATTACTCCTCTACTCGTTTGGCTTCCAGATAGACGTGTTGGAGTAGCTCCATCTCACTGCGGAGCCGAGTCCCTCGTGATTTTTAGACGTACATTGTGAGCAGGTGGCATCAGAGCATCAGGTCTTTTTTTCATTTAGCAGGGGAATAATAACTAACACAGTCAGATAAACACAAACCAAATGAACATTTTGCCAAATAAAACCAATAAATCACCATCAGAGCCAGCGGTACTTCACACACGGCTATGCAGAGACAGGGCTGCTGCAGACGGGCTGCGGTTAGCCCTGGCTGCCGTTAGCCTCAGAGCTCCGCTGTTCTCTCAACTTCAGAAATCTTTTTTTTTAACTTCCGCATTTAATTAGTAAATGGGCCATATATATAGTTACGCTTGAAAGTATAACTGGCTGGTTGGTTTGATTGACCTGCAGAGAGCTGTCAATCTCAAGAATGGACAAGTCTGCTCTGATGCATGATGGGTAAATAGGGAGGGGCGAGAACAACATCCGAGGACTTTGTCCGTTCTCGGTCTTCTTGTTCCTGTAAATTGGAACAGTGCTAGGGCTGAGGCGGATGGCCTTTCACGAGTACATGAGAAGGCACAAGCATGCGTATTGAGAAACGGCATTTATCTGAGATCATGGGGATTTGACATTCATGTTAATAGGGAGCATCCCCCACATCAACATCTTGATTTGCTTTGTTTATACTACGTTTTCAACTAAAACTATTAATATGATGTAACCATTTGGTTGCTTTGAACATGAAACTTGCCAACCGCAAGGGAAAAAAAAATAAATCTAGCCAGAGAGTAGAGGGGTGCTGCTCTACTGTTACATTGGATATACTCCATGGACTGGGGTTAAACACACCATCCTTTATCCTTTACTTTCCTCCCCAGTAATCTTTATTTATTGACTCGCCAAAATCACATTATGGCTAATGCTTAAACAATTTCCCATCATTTCCATATAGGACCAGAATGAGCACTTTTACCATTAGGGTCAAAAACATAATTAGAAAATGCTTTAATTATACTGCAAGTGGTTTTCAATTGAAGATTTTCTGTCATTTTGGTTTAATTTGATCTTGTTTATTTTTTTTATTTTACATAATTAATTGAGATTATATTCCTTTCTGTATGAATATGGAGTGTGATTGCTACATTTCCAGTTTACATAAACTATATATACATCATTCAGTTTGTTTTCATATAAATTTAATTCACAAAGCCAAGAGTATTTGGAAATCATTTAAGAAAATTACACTGCATTAAAAAATGATTGTGCACATTGTGGTTTAAACTGTTTTTGTCATGATTGTGTTAAATCTATATCCTGTTTGAGTTTTGCAGTTGCTCCAGTCCCTTAGCTGATGAACCTATAGGTGGCCAGGGGGGGGGCTGAGCTGATTTGGACCATACCACATCAATGCTTTTAGTTCAGTTGAGGTTTTAGTATGTTTTATAGCCCTTATGTTTCGTTTGTGGTTTGATCAGCCACCGTTAAGTTCCCCCTGTGTTTCATTATGCGAGGTCAGTTTGTTTAAGCTAAGACATGTTTTGTTGCTAGTTATTCTGAGTCATTTTGCTACTTTGACCTCTTTCTTGGCCCATTCCTTTTGTATATGTTATATTTCACTTTTTGGGTTAAATAAAAGAGCCCTATTTTTGGACTCAAACCTGTGCCTGACTGAGCCCACTGCTTGGTCCATCACAATGAGGTAAATGGGCGGGGCAGTACCTACAGCAGCACAGCATCCAGATTCAAGACCTTCAGTAGATGGCTGCCTCGGAAAGATTGCAGGAAGCGATGGGGGAGCGATAGTGGTTAGGGCGTAGGGCTTGGAATCCTGAGGTTCTGAGTTCAAGCCACCACTCTCCACTCCCACAGTCTGCGGGAGTGGGGAATGGTGGTCCTTGGTATGCCTTTCCATGTGGTCGTACTTCTAGATTTGGAGCAGGGGCGCTATTTTTAAAAACCGAGGAACAACTACAATGGACAACTACGACGAAAGCTTCATCGAGGAGGTTCGGAAGTACAACCACTTGTACGATGCCTCGAACAAATTATAAAATGATGTCAAGGTCTCTGCCAAAACAAAGTGCTCGTGGCCATCTGTCTAAGTTCTTGCAAGTTCTCGAATAGGATCCCCCTTGCGCTTTGGCAGGAAACTGCTGTGCATCCCTAGAAATTCCAGACGAACGGTGCAGAAGCATACCAGAAAAACTGCTTCACGACCCGACCCAAGCGACATTTGATGTGTGCGGTTGCAGAAGTCTAATCTGCCCTTAAGGGAATGGGTTAAATGCAGAGGTAAATTTCTCCATTGTTAGATTAATAAAGTTCTATTATTAGTATTAAGCAATATATAAGAATCCAATTCCTCCAGAGGTTCAAACCTTCCTTTGGCAGAAATAAGGTTGGATCTGGGCTCCGTCTGTGAAGGATCTTGAGGGTAAGCTGCTTTCAAAAAGAATTTTTCTCACTGTAGTGTAACCATGAATGTTTAACAGTAGGTTGCCGTTTCAACTACAGGTCCAAAATGAAGGCTCTACTTGTGAAAATGAGTCCAAAGATGAAAACTAACAGATACTGTTAAACTATTAGGTTTTTCTGAGAAGCAACTTTCCGTATTTCAAAATTACCCCAAAGGTAGAGCACAAATGCTTTTCCTGGGAGAAACGTATGGCTGCAGATGAATTCTGAGTCGTTCTTTGAAACTAGACCCAAAGATCCATTTATGTCACCGATTTCAAAGGCATGTCGTTTAACGCACGAACAGGCCATCATCCCGAGTGATTCCAGCGGGTGCTGGCAGGCCTAATGTAAAAAATCTGAAGGCTGTCAGCAGCTGAGGTGTCGGTGTGAGGGGATCAATAAACTTGGCTCCTCAGAAGAATGTTTTCAGGATCACGCTACGATTTGTTTCCCACAAACTTAATAAATCCAGCGTGTCCAGAGCTGGCCGCATCACAGTCAGGAAGGATGGGTTTTTAACTGCGTAAACAAGCTAAAACTTTTTCCAAAATACGTGACTGGGAAACAAACAGAGAATTAATAAAAACAAATTTAAAGAAAGAAAGTGATCGGACCGTGTGGAGGCTGAAACATGTCCAGGTGAGAAAAAGCATCATCTCAGTGACACAAACCTTGATGTATGGGTGGTCTTTGCAGGTGGTGCCCCACTGCCGAGCACAACGCTCTTCCTTTCTGTGGACAAAGAACTCCGGGTTACGAAGGATGGCCACGCGCCTGCCTTCGTAGACCAGCGCCACCGCGGTCACGCCATCCAGACGCTCCTTATCTGCAGTTGACACCGGCAGCACTATGGGCACCGAGAGGTTGATCACACCCCCTAGAAGAGAAGGGACAGTAAATATTTGACAAAGTCCGCTGCTATTTACAAAAAGACAGCCAAGATTTTTATTGGTTACTGCACAATATTTCCTATGAAGCCTTAGCTGCCAGCTAATCCAATTAGCAACTTCATCACCAATCCATGTTTTCCATACTTGACTAAGCAGCTATGCAGGAATAATTGAGTGAAACACATTTTTTTTAGCATAACAGCTCCCTCCCAGTGTAGTGAGACAAATCTGCATCTTTGACAACATATAACAGAGAGGTTTGAAGGCCTTTAAGGCAGAGTGATCAGAGCGTAACCCGCCTCAGAATCCAATTTCTTTGCATTAGACCGGAAGTCTTCAACAGGGGGTCCTCGAGGCCTAGGGGGTCCACGGAGGTACTGCATGGGGATCATGAAAGTTTTGGTTGATTAGAATTTTTTTTATATTCCCTGCTGCATCTTTTTTCCATTAATTGAAATGTCTTTAAATCCACATTAACATGAATTCAACAGACTGTAGACTTCAACACCTGTCCCATCAACCAGGAATCAGAATCAGAAATACTTTAATAATCCCAGGGAGAAATTAATTTTATTACATTACTCAATCTTTAATAGAGTGACTATAGAACCAGTTTGATATAACACTATTTAATACAATATATAAAATTAGCAGGTCCCTGCTCCATCTCACCATCAGTTTGGGGGTCCTTGGCCTGGAAAAGGTTGAAGACCCCTGTATAAGACAGTATACACTGGACTTATGGGATGCTTTTTTTAATGTAGCAACAGTCTTAGCACTGCCCTCTAGGTTTAAACAGTAGATATTGCAGTTAAATGTTCCTAAAGACTACATCCTGATACAGGTGTTCCATTTCAGCCTCTCTCCAACTCTGGTGACGAGGAGTGTGGAAAATCCTCCACCTCAAACTAACCTGTAAGTACCAGCGTCCCTTTGTTTACCGTCTGTGCTTCAATATGGCTATTCTAAGCTAGGCTAAACTAGCTGAAAAACTTTGCCCATTTCTCAGGGTCTCTTAGTAGCTTTTTTCAGAATGGTGGAGTTATGTTTTAAATCTGGGGTACCACTTTGGGACATTGGACTATGACAGATATCCAACCAATAAGATTTAAACAGAAAACTTTAAGCAAATGCTGGTTTTTACAAAACAGTTTTAGGAGAGAGAAAAATGCGGCTATTACAGCTTTTTAGGTACATTGACATCAGAAAAAAAACAAAGAAAACACTTCCATGATGCAACCTCCATGAGACTCGGCACATGTAGAGTACAAAATCAATTAATTAATGCGAGAGCATCAATCGCCACAAGCCGAGTATTGGTCTGTACCATCAGGTGGTGTCTGGAGGCGCTGTTAAAGAATACGAAGGTGACAAATAACTGTTCTCCAGTAGTGGAGCTTATTGTTTAGAGGCCATTTAGATTATCCCTCTACAGACCAGCTGCAGAAAAGACTGCCGTTTCACTTCATCAGTTATCTGTCCAGGTTCAATGCTGAGCTGTGTGCTCCTGGACCAATCTATAGGGGAACAAACCTATCCGGTAATTACAGTTTGCCAAGTACAAGTTCTCACTGCTCTGTGATAAATTATAGTGTAAATCGACACACTCCTAGTGTGTAGTTGGTGGTGCTGAACAAAGGAAATGCATGAAATAATATTTCAAACTGAACCCTTCAACAAACAAGCAGCACTAATGGAGTGAAATAAGAGGTGGTTTTCATTTTTTCTCTGGGAAAACCGAACCCGCTCAAAGAGTCAGAGTTCTGTACTCAATCATTTGTTGGAACCAAACGGTTTATCATTTGCCAGAGAGATATGAGCAGATTTTAAACTTTATGGGTTTAAGGACCAATGTTCCAGCTGATTTCTCTGCCCACAGAGTCGGAAATCACAAGTTCCAACTTGAAATTGAAAACACCAATGCGCCTCTAACTGGCTCTGATTCTTGGATCGGTTTGGTTTTTTGCATCTAAAAACATTACATGTCAAAGGAAACCATCATAACTTAAAAAAAAATTTGGTAAATCATTTTCTACAGCTAAAAATCCATTAGAAGTTTCCTCTAAGTTTCAGGCTCTTTCAACAGTTAGCAGAAACCAGTTTAACATAGAGATGTGGAAGATTTCTAGAAAAACGCTGGACATTTAGCATCCCACTACAGCTACATATACAAAAAGAAAAAAAGTTTAGGTTTCACTTAACTACAAACTAATGATGGTAAGAAAATTTAAAAAAAATAAATAAATTTGACCATTACATTTACATAGAAACCATATGTTGATCACTTTACTGTTAAATAAGCAGCCCTCTGGACGCCTCCTCTAATTGTATCAGGGTTTATACAGAATTACTTTTTAATGCGGTTCACAAAATCCACGGTTCGGTTCACGGTTTTGTGGTCACGGTTTTCGGTTCGGTATATGTTGATTGTTAGGAAAATCAATTATGTCTTGTATAGTCAGGTTAAAACTGAAAGAAAAAAGCAGTCCGACATTTGATACATCATTCTGACAGTCTTAGGTTAAAAATAGGTGAGATTCTGGCATTGCAAGAGAGGAGACAGTGCTGGTTCCAACATGTGCTTCATTTATTTGGCAAACAATTTGCCAACGGTCCCACTGGGAGGATGTCTCCGCAGGTGAGCTGACATGTTGGTCGTGTTGCTGTTAGCATAAACAAAACGTGTTGCACAATGCTTGCACACTGTCGCACTTTTATCCACAACTTTCTTTCCGCCGTCATCGTAGGTCATTCTAAATGCAAAGTGGTCCCATACAGCAGACCTATAAAGTGCTGCTGGCGCGTCTTCCAACTCCTGTTCTTTCCCACTCGCCATACCCACACAATTCTCCACAACAACTGATTTTTTTCTGCTACACCCGGCTACGCTGTTTCGCTTCTTCTTCTTGTTGTTTACTACTGGTGGTTGGCTTTGGTCGCAGTACCGCCACCTTCTGCTCTGGAGTGTACACGCTTGGCCTAAGAAAACGGAGCAGCGCATGAACCGAACGCAACACAAGCGAATCGAACCGAGACAGTCGAACCGAACGGTTTTCATATAAATAGATCACGGCAAAATCCTTCGTCATTTTTACCATCGACAGGCTGCAGCCATGTCCCGGATTCCTCGTTTTCCAGCCACTTTTATGGAAATTTGTATTCTCCAATTCTCTAGCTTTTTCTCCGCCTCTAGCTTCTTTTCCAAACATATGGCTTTTACGATCAACTGGAAGCAGTTCCACGCAAACACACAGAACCAGTTATATATGATATAATATATCTGAAGAAATTGTCTTTATTGTTTAGCCAATTAAGGCCTTCATTTAAAAAAATATAATTTAATGACTTTTAATGACCAGCGGAAACCCTGTGTATAGTGAAGGACTTACAGCGTGCTACGACAGAAGCAACCAACAGAAGGTTGAAAGTAGATTTCTGTTTGGTAAACCAGCAGGCTTGTATGTTTATTCAGTTTGCTGTCAAATACTTGGAATGAAAAGAAACTGGAAAAAAGGCAGGACAGTATACGGTGTTGATCAATAAAAGGTTTTTCCTCTCCATCCCTTCACAACTAACAGGAAACTAAAGACTTTCTATTTATAAATATTAATACATTTCTGTTTCTCAAACAGAGAACAAAACTTGGGAGATCGAAATTGTGTCTACTGGTGTTCATATTATTACTATATGTGTGAAAACAAAAATAAATGCTTATTCGTCGCCATTTTATCATCAAAAAAAAAAGCTGTTAATGCAAAAAAATTAAAAATAAATCAAAAAAGTTGATAGTTTTAATATGTTGCAAATCATTAACCATTTTAAATAAAATCCCCACTTGTTGGAATCCTCCTTGTGATGCAGTTTTCTGGGTTTTAAGAGCCTCGGAGTAAAATAAGAAGAAAAAGATCATCATGCATAACTTTTCTCCTGCTTCACAATAATGTTCTACTCTCTGAGGTTGCAACATCAAAAAGTTGGAAACTTTATCGATAAAACCCACCAAGGAAAGCAGAAGACCTCTAGATGAAGGCTTTAAGGCGTCTTCTGAGAGCCTGGATTAAGATAAAAACAACTACTCCTGAAGTTAAGATGTTGTAATATTTTATTTATTTTGTTTCTTTCCGTTTTATTTCACTTTTTGGACATCAGAATTCCCACCGCAATAGAAAGTGGTTTCTGATCCATTCTTTTAGTCAATAAATCATGATGAAAACCCGGTCAGCAATGTTCTCTCTCTTAGCAATGTTCTCTCCATGTAACAGTACGAGTTAATAAAGTCTGAATAAGCTGAAGTGTTTGGCAGCGAAACACAAGAGCTGTGTGAAACCAACATCTGCAACAACAATAAGCTGTTGCAGATTTCCCTTGAAAAGAATAATTTAAAAAAAAAAGATCTGAGAACATAAACCACACAGAGGAAGAGGGTCAGACGGATCTCTGAGATGGTTTTCCTCACTTTTCTCAACCCTATTTATTTCTCAATTCAATATGAGAAATAAGCGGAAATAAAATTGCAGAACCTCTACAGGACAGACATACAAGTTTACTTTAGGTTCACACTCCTCTCATCGTCATCAACGACTACCAGCCAATCACAGCGCGGATCTGGTTATCTTCATCTTATTTATTACTGGGCTTATTTTGTCGAGAAGAAAAGGGAATGGTCTGATTCAAGCCCTGCTTAAGTGACACGGGTCCAGACACTTAGCTGGATCGACAGTAGGGTCAAAGTAGCAAGTGACCTAAAGGACCAGATTAGCCTAGGTTCAGAACCCATGAAGCCTTTTGAAGAATGGTGAATTGTTTTCACCGAATTAAATAAGACTTTTCTCCATTTTGGGGCTATTTTTCATGAAAAACAATATAAAGCTAACACCCTACCCTGTGATTATTCCAACCTTTTTCCTTAATCCATAGCTCCACTTTCTACAAAATAAAAACATTTTTAAGCATAAAAAATACATTTCACAACTTCTGGATTATATATA